CCTCCTTGTCCCCGCCCTGCCCCCCGCCCCCTGTGCCCGCAGCCCCCCCCCCCAAACTCCAACCAGCAGGTAATTAACTCCCAAACAAAGGCAGGGATTTGCAGATTAACCCAGACCCGGGAAGAAGTGGGAAAACTCATTTACACCAAACAAAAGGGGAGGGGTGATTATTTGCTCCAGTGACAACAGAAAGAGCCAGATAGGGCCAGGGAAACTGATAAAGAAGCAGGAAAGCGCTAATATCCCCCAGTCGCCTGCCTTTTTTTTTTCCTCCTCTCCTTCTTTCTTTCTTTCTAAATTCCACCATTTTCTATCATGCAAATTTGCGTGCCTAAGTGAGATTAAACTCTGGCAGGCACTGTGCCTCCTTCCCCAAGTCCATTTCCCCGCGCCGAGATAAGGCCAACTTTCCTTAATGCATCTTACAAGGCAGTGGGAGTGTTTTGCAGGCGTGCATTGGAGACGGCTTATTATCAATACAAATAAGAGCTTTCCAGACACCCTCCTCCTCCTCCTCCTCCCTTCCCCACTCTCTTTTAAGCCCAGGAACCCAGAGAACAGATTGAATAGCTCGAGTGTCCTGCGGGGAGAAAGGGGAGGCTGCGCCTGAGATGATGATGCTGCAGAGGCAAGAAGTGAGACTTGCAAAGGAAATCAGAGTGGGATGCAGGAGGGGAGAGGAAGAGGAAGCATCGCTCCTCAGAGGTCAGTGGGGCTCAAGTCCTCCTTGTAGCACTGGGTTTCTGCCTCCCTGCAAGTTCAGAGCTTGCCTGTTGCAAGTAGGGCTGTCCTGGGTTGGGGATTTTCACACAAAACCACCTCATTCTTCACAGGGTCCGAGGGACACTCCTGCAACCATGGGCAGCGCCGCTTCCCTGTGCTTCATCTGGTCCTACAGCAACTCCTCCAAATAAATAATGAGGGTTGAGTGAGTAGGACAGGCAGGGACCAGCTTCCAAACACTGCAGATGACACGGATGCTCCCTGAGCTGTTCATTTTAAGTCCAGCTGTAGTCTGGGAGCTTCTTTCAGAACCTCCTTGTCCCTTTTGCGGCTATGTTGTTGGCTCACATCAACTTGGCATTACCAACGCTGAGCCTGACCCCATTTAAAGCAGTCCCCAAAATAGCAGGTCTGAACTTTGATGCATTCAATGCCAAGGGTCTGTTGTCTCATTCCTGGGCTCATTTGTCCCATATTAGTGCAGTGGGAAGGAGAAATGCACCGACCTGCTATTCCTGGATCAGCAACAATCACCTTTTGCCTTTTGTAACAGGATTTTTTTTTTCAGACTGACAAGTGTTTCTGAAAGCCTGACCGAGGAGGAAAGGCAGGAGAAACAGGGCTTTGCATCGTTTCAGAAAGAAGGTGGCTAAGGGGCAACCCGATAACAACCTTCCCAAAAGCAACAAAGGTTGTTACAAAGAGGACACTGATCAATTGTTCCCCACGTCCGCTGGGGATCGGCTGAGAAAAAAACTCCACTTCGTTTGCAACAAAGAAGGTTTAAGTTAGATATTAGCTATACATTTTCTAATTATAAAGGTAGCGAAGCAGTAGAATAGATCGTCTAGGGAGAATGAAGAACCTGCTTTGTTCAAGATTTTTCAAGAATAGCTTTCACACGTGTTTGCCAGCCATGTCTCTCTGCCTCGGTGCAAGGGGACAGGCTAAATTAGCTCTTGAGGTGCCTTCTACCCACCTATTTTGGGATCTCAGCCATCGATACCGACAACCTCAAAATACATGTGCAACGCTTCTCTTGCTGCAGCGTGGACAGAGAATCATAGAACCACACAATGGTTTGGGTTGGAAGGGACCTTTAAAGGTCATCTAGTCTTGGTTCCTGATGGTTTCTAGCTGATTCTCTCCCGCTGCCTTGGGGGACCATCCTCAACCGTCTTACCCTAAAGGAAGCTCCTTCTCCCATCCTTATCCCTCTCCTGTTTTTAGCTCTTTCCCCCCGTAGCACCCCTTGGCAGACACCAGGGATGCCCGAAGCTCCTCACTCCCTCCATCCATGGCTGCTTCCCAGTGATAATCCCTAAACCTGGGGAGGAGGAGGGATGCACGGTGTGAGCTGAGGATATCTGAACCCCGGCTGACATGCATCCATCACACCTGCCTGGAGGAGCAGCAGGCTGCTGAAATCCCAGCTGGAAGGGGAAGAGCTCCTAACTCCCTGCAGCCAGGCCCTTTGGAGAGCACAGCCTGCCCCAGGGCACGATTTGATTGCATCCTGAGAGGCTGGAATGCTCCTGCCCCCAGAGCTGTGCCCCCAGGCTCTTCCCTGGTGCAGCAAAGGGAAAGTCAGGACCTGCTTAGAGCAACCTGCATACCTCCCTCCTTCTGTCAGCACCCAGACTATCCCTGTTTAAAAGGGAAGATCCCCTTTCCCACCTCCTGTCACCACTTCTCCTTTCCTATCAGGCTGTGGGGAGGGGCAGGAGGTCCCACAGCCACGCGCTGAACTTGGAACATCCCCAAAATCTGGCACTTGTATACCCTGCTTTCCCGAGAGGGAGGGGTAAGCACTGCTCCTCACAAGCTGAATGTCTTTTAGGACAGGATTATACCAGCTTGTGTATTTATTGGGCTCATTTTCCAAGGCAGGAGAGTTAATCCTGGCACCTCAGCCAAATTTTAATCGGGGTCATTAAGGCAGCCTTCCCTTTAATTGGACATGATATTCACTTTCATGTCCTGCTCCAGCACGTCGCTGCACGTTATGCTCTTGCCACCTTCCACCCCAGAAAGGGCTGGGGGAGCCAAGCTCTTGAAATTAAGGTGCCTGCTCCTGAAAGCTGGTATTTCTGTTGGAAGCTGAGAGGATATTTAGCAGTTATAGGACTGAGTCCATCCCTGAATCCCTCAGTACTTAACTGTACCACTGCAAGGAGTTCAGATACAACCTTCTCCTCCAGCACTTAAAACATCTCTTCCTAATGCTACAACCAGACGCAGGAGGGATGGACCTGGATGTCTGGTGATATGGGAAATTTAGGTCAGGAAACAGGAATAGGATAGAACTTGTCCTGCATCATCCCAGCTCCTGATAGCGACTTCAGAACTTGCTGGTGATCGACTTTGGCTTAAGAAACTCAGGCAGGTAATAACAGATTGCAAGATAAACAGCAAGGACCCGGGCTGGCAATGCATCCGCTTCCTCTCCACGGTTAATGGAGATGGAGAAAGTCCAGCTCTGTTTAGTTTGCTTGATTGCTCAGAGAGGAAAGAGAAAACGGAAAGGGAGGGAAGGGGGGGGAAATAAAGGCTCTGGGTTTGGGTTTTCCCCCCCTCCTCCTATTCATTAGGCTGTCAATAACGCTCAGGCCTGGCATATCGACGGCGGATTAGCTCAACCCGACTCTGTGTACAAGACCAATGCCTTTTTAACCCAGCTTGTTTCCAAATCAATACACCCATCAGCATTCGAAAATTAGCCCGAGACGAGATTCCAATACTCAAGCTGGTGTGTCATGCTAAGAGGGCTGCTGGCCAAATCACAGAAGAAAAAAAAAAGAAGAAAAAAAGGTTGCTAGGAAGGGATTAGAAATTTTCCATTAATCTTCCCCAAGGCTGCCTCCTAAGAGCACACCAGGCTCCATACATCCCACCACACAGGTTCTCCCTTGCCCAGTGCACGTCCCACAGCACGGACACCAGAGCTATCTTGTGTGAACACCCATCTGCTTGTCCATTGTGTGTGGTCACACTTGTATCTCCCCTCTCAAGAGCCCGTGTGTGCTTGCATGGCTTGAAGAGCACACGTCCGCACCCCGCAGACGGTACAGCCTCGGCGAGGCGAGTGCCCCATGCCAGCCTTCCTCCTCCTCCTCCTCAGAGAAGCAGAGAGTTTCAAACACACAAACACATATTGTTGCTAGGCATACACACACCCCCGCAAAGTACACAAATCTGCCAGCTCTCTCTTTTCCCCCAACACAAGTTTTACTTCAAGCGTTGCCTCCAGCACGGAACGCAGACGGTACAGCCTCGGCGAGGCGAGTGCCCCATGCCAGCCTTCCTCCTCCTCCTCCTCAGAGAAGCAGAGAGTTTCAAACACACAAACACATATTGTTGCTAGGCATACACACACCCCCGCAAAGTACACAAATCTGCCAGCTCTCTCTTTTCCCCCAACACAAGTTTTACTTCAAGCGTTGCCTCCAGCACGGAAAACAAAAAAAAACCCCATCAAATTACAACAACAACAACAAACAGCAACATGAGTTTGCCAGGGATGACTTTGGGAAGCAGAGCTGCCTGTATCAGAGCCCCATGACGACTCCAAGTTGGATATATGTGATTGTAAATGCTTGGCCACTGCCCGGCTTCACTGGGACTCTCCAAGCCTGTTGATCAGCCTCTACATTTGCCCCAAGCTGTCCTACATGCTTAACGTACGAGCAACGAGAGGAGAAGACACCAGGGCAAAAGAGAGGAACAGAAATCAAAGCACCAAGCCCAACCCCTCTACAGATTCCCTTCCTCTTACCTTGCACGATGAGATGGACACGCGATGTCTTGGGGTGATTGTCTGTCTGCACGGAGCAGGTGTAGGGACCCTCATCGTACACGTCCACATCTTGAATCTGGATGCTGTACTGGGTTTTGGTGTTGGCCAAAAGCACCACCCGAGGGTCCAAGCACCACTTGTCATTGCCAGCATAGAGGATGCTGCTGCGGGTCAGCCAGGCCACTCGGGTGACTCGATTATCCACAGAGCACCTGGGGAGAAGCAGAGAGGTGACCCATCAACACGCTGCTCGTGGGTGTCCTGCCCTCCCTTCCCCAACCCCTCCTGGTTTTCCCTATTTTTAGCTTTGCTGCCAGCAGCAGTTTCAGTGTCCAAAGAGGACAATGTCAGCACTTTATCCATGGTGCTCAGGGCACCATTATCCTTCTAAACTGGTGGCTCCAGAGATTTGCCCAAGAGCTTCACAGTGATGTCAAGTGTAGAGAGGTCACAGCCATCCAGCACCAGTCACCAAAGGGCCTTTCCCTCTTCCATTCCCGTTTGCTCCTTTGCAAACTTAGAGACAACCAGACCAGAGTCAAAACCTCCATCCTGAGTCCAAACACACTTTTTTGGGGGAGGGAGGGAGGGATGCAGGTTGCTACCTCCAGCCCAAACCCATTGCTTGTCATTCTCTCCACAGACCTTCATTTCCCTGCAGCCAGGCAAAGAAATGCAAAGCAGAGCCAGGAAAGCAGCTTGCTCTGCTTCACAAAGGGGCGAGGAAAATTTATCTCAGAAGAAAGCCAGCTCTGACACACCTCTAAAGAGAAACCTTGAGCTTCCTACCATTTGTCCCCTCTGTCAGCTCTTCCTTCCCTTCCCATCATCTGCATCGCTGCATCTCCTCCACTTGCTGCACCTCACCCCTGCTAAGCATTTCACTTATCAAGTGATGGTTTGGAGGTTGAAAACTTCTTTCCAGCCTCATCAACAACCTGAGCCCTTCCAGAAGACAACATGGCACAAACCTAGAGGAGACTTTGCTCCTGAAGGGGAATATTTTCCCATCCACAGTAGCAGAGGTCAGTCTTACTCCTCCTAAAGGTCTCTGCCAGCCTTGTAACCCTCCATTCCTATGTCCCCAAGCAAGGTTTGAACCCTCCATTTCCACGACTCATACCCAGACCAGCAAAGAACAGAGGGTCTGGAGACTGCCTGCTGTCCAAACCCTTCCTAGGCAGCAGAAACCTAGTCCCCTGAGCCAGTTAAAACCCCACTTCTCTCCAAGCAAGTCTGGGATCACGGAGCTGTTAGGATTTAGCCACGCTTTGCTGGATGCCAGGGACGGAGGTTCATGTCCCTCCATAAAACCACTCAGCTTCACATCCACTGTTTATATTCTCCCCAATCTACTTCATTACTTGTGCAGTGCCTGGGAAGCAAATTAAGTTTAGAGGCACTGAAAAAAGAGCACGACAGCCTCGAGGAGGTCTCACATGGGGTAACCTCCATGAATGCAAGGGGAATTAACGGGCTATACGTGCCAGACTGTGGTAGCAAGGGAGTAAACGGCAAGGATGGATATATCTGTGCCATGTGGACTTATCCTGATACTTTAGGAACTGTGTCCTTTCTCCAGTTGCTTACTGGTGAGCAACTCCTCTTCCCATGTCCACTACTGATGCCAGCCAAGAAACAGGTACCCACCTGGGACAAGCTGTCTCATCTCATCTAGCTTCTTTTAGGAGGTATCTCTTTAGAGAAGCCTAAATAACCCACTCAGCCTCAACACACATCTGAAGGTTAGGGGTGATGGTTCCACATCCATGACGTGCTCAAGGAAAGATGTGTAGTCTGCAGCCCAGGACACCTCTACTCATTTGCTAGGCAAGTACCCAAGCTACTGCACCATCCTCCCTCTCTCTGGTGTGAAAAACATCCAATAAATTAAGCAATTTTACTGCTGTTCCATAATGATATTACGATAATCATAAATTAAATGTGAGCAGATTTTTATTATCTACATAAAAAAAGCAATAGATTCAGCCTGGGCTGAACACCAAGAACTCTGCTTTCTGCTCTCAGCTGCATTACACCTTGAGCAAAACCTGACAGTTTAGTTGCTCAAGTTGAACAAAACTATGAGGACAGGCTGAGAGAGTTGGGGCTGTTCAGCCTGGAGAAGAGAAGGCTCCGGGGAGATCTTATAGCGGCCTCCCAGTACCTGAAGGGGCTACAAGAAAGCTGGGGAAGGACTTTTCATAAGGGCAGTTAATGACAAAACAAGGGGAAATGGGTTGAAGCTGAAAGAGGGGAGGTTTAGATGAGATATTAGGAAGAAGTTCTTCACTGTGAGGGTAGTGAGACACTGGAACAGGTTGCCCAAGGAAGTTGTGGATGCCCCTCCCTGGAAGTGTTGAAGGCCAGGCTGGATGAGGCTTTGAGCAACCTGGTCTAGTGGAAGGTGTCCCTGCTGCTGGCAGGGGGGTTGGGACTGGATGAGCTTTAAGGTCCCTTCCAATCCAAACCATTCTATGATTCTATGATTTCTTCCCAGAGGATGGTTTTAGTGTATCGTTCTCTGGACCTCAACTATGCTGGTAACTTAAACCTACAGGGTTTGAATTAAATACAGGTGGATATTTGGTGCCCATTGCAACGCCATAAAATCAGCTCCTAGGGTTGCATCGAGCAGCATGTCTGCACAAACACAGGGGCATCCACCCTCACTGCCAAAGCTGGATGGTGGAGAGGGACTGGGCAATAAAGAGCCTGATGCAGCTTGAATTTCTCAGACTGGTCCCTTCTGTGGAGATAATAATCCCTGAGGACCTGTAAGCAGGCTGAACTAAAAATATATATTTCCTCTCTCCTCCACACCAGGGTTGGGTTGGTTTTTTTTTGGTGAAATGCATCAGCTTGGAGATCCCTGGATAATAATGGAGCCAGACAGTGTGTAATCCAAGCATTCCCTCTATCATATGGGCATTTAAGTGCTTTTGAAAAGCAACGGGGCTCAGGTAACGCATGAGGCAACAGTGAAATAAGTGCTTTTGCCCTTCACAGCACCTGGTCACAATCTCTTCTTATCACCTAGACACGCTTCTCTGTCCTCAGGATTGGCAAGTTTCAACTTGTTATTTTATTTTCTTCACTGCCTCTTAAAGCTCCTGAGTCTATATATATCTATATATAAATATATATAAAAAATAAAGCATGGAAACAGCTTCCAACAAAGCCCCACTTTGACCTCCGGATAGAGTGGGCTATTTAGGGGATGGTGGGTCGTGCTCCTGCTCAAGCTTCTTCCAACCACTGTGCCAACCCCACTTCTCCTCACACAAACACCAGTCGGGGTCCCCACGGCCAAGGCTCTTCCAGCCTCTCCATCTGCTCCCCCTTCCCTGCTCCAGTAGCTCCGCTCTCCACCAGCCCGGCACAGGGATGGGAAGATCTCCTCTCCCCCACACAGGCAGCCGAGCGGAAAAACTTTGGCTTCGGCCAGGAAACCAGGATCCAAGCACAGGTGGAGAGCAAAGCCACCGCTGAGCCTGCAGCCTCCCACTTCCCACCCTGCTCCTGGCAAGGTGCAAAGCCCAGAGATGTTTCCTCCACCTTGCTGGAGGCTCTCGCTCCATGATGTGCCAGGGAGGAAGGGGAAAGAGAGGTCCTCAGGGTGCTGGAAAACAGCCCCTGTCTCCAAAAAGAAGTTGTAAAAATAATTAAGCAGAGTTGAGGTTAATTTTCTCTCTCAAAATCCTTAATCCTTGTTATGTTCATGCTTGGAAGGCAAGGCCTTCTCCTCCAGGAAGATGAAAAACTGCTGTCTGTCAGCACAAGGAGGAGATGATGCTGCTTCCTCTGTCTGCTACCTCTTT